CATGCATGACTTGTGCAACATCTTCATGGGGTCTGATCACAAAAGCTGCCTTTTGTGATCAAAGGTATAGTCTGCCAAAATCCACTGAGGTCAGCAACTGTTCTGTGATTAGCCCCCAGTGCTGTTAACTCTTTACAGCAGGTTTATGGCAAGTCTTCCAGAGAAGTGACTGCAAAAAACTTTCCATTCCTGGCACACGCATTCAGTTCCCTACATATAAATGCACTCTGTGAAACTGGAAGTAGATGCTACATAGCACTGAAACATGGCAGAAAAGTTCCAAACATTTTAAGAGCAAAGATTTCCACAGTTTGGTGACAAACTAAAGCCAAAGTTACTGATGTGAACACCTGAAGCTGCAATGACATCAGCAATTTCTCTCATGTATGCCAGTAAGGACTCAGGTCCACCATACACCATCACTTCTATCACTGAAATGCTGTCAGACTACCTGTATGAGACACAGAGAGTGGGACCTCAGTCTGCCTGGTAAAAGGATCATGCATGACCTCTTACGACTAGGGCACAGAGATCTGCAGTAAATATTAGGAGAGGCAGTAAGATGTACCTTAATTTTCAGATGTTGGGGGCTGAAATGTGGATAATAACTTGTCTAGAAAGTTACCACCTAACTCTGTGAAATCACGCTTTGTGCTGAGAGCCAACATGTCACCTGCACAGAGCCCTAGTCCTAACAAGTAGGATTCCATCTGTCTGCACTCTGCGGAAGAATCAGTTTTTCCCTGATTACAATGAACTACAGATCTATGCAGAATCTTGTACAGTCATTTTTATGACATTACTGCATTCAGACATCTTTTTTTTAGACTTTGCTCAAATAGTTTTCTTCATACACACTCTTTCCTTAAAAAAAAAAAAAAGGGGGCAAACCCCATTTTTCATGTACAGTGTACTATCTCAACTTTTTTTCATATTAGGAAAGATAAGATTTTACTAACAGAAATTTTTCATATTATTTACTCTTTAGCCAGGATCTTGATACTAGTGTTTAAGGAAATACTTAGCTTTTGAATTACATGTAATTTAGGTATTACTTTACAAAAACTGTATCACAAAACCTGCACTTTTCCCCTCTCCAGCAGAACTCTGCCAGAGGCAGCCCCTTTGAAGCCACCCAAAACTCCAACAACTTCACTGGATGGAGGTGTACCATCCTTTGTATCTGTTGTTAAGGAAGTGGGGAGGAAACATGGCAACGCTTTGTCATTAAAGTCATACAGAGAAGACCTGCTTACCTTTATATCAATCCCAACTGATGAAACTGTCTCCCCATCCAGTACCTGGTTTTCTCTCTCACGGTAAAACAGTACCTATCTTTTAAAACGGATCTGACAGGTATTTTTATATTGTTTTTTTTCAAAAGCAATGCTAAGACAAATATTTTAGTTAAAGTATATGATTTAAATAGGTTCCTTACCTCTGTTACTAATAGCACACACTGAACTGCTGAAGAGAGCAATTTTTACAAGTTCACTTGCATCTCACAGCCTGGTGCACTTTGGTCATGTTGAACAGCGAAGCTGGACTGGCCAGCTTACTCCTCTGCCTCCTTGAGTTCCCAGGCTCTGTGCAGCCCAGGGCAGCAAGTTCCAAGTCACTAAAATGGCCTTCTGATACTATTTTTTTACAAATCATTGAAACAGTTCTAACTAATCTTCATTACAAATGTAAGAAACAACCAGTTTTGACTGAGATAGATCTACTTTTAAACATTTTGTTGTTGTTTATCATGAGCTATTTCACCTCGTTTGTTCTTAAGCAAAAGTCCCTCCCAATATTAACAATAGCATGCTAAGACTACAGTGAGATGTGGCCCTATAGATTTTAATGTACATAATGGAAACATAGCAAACCGGGTTTGTAAGTTCAAAAGGAAAAAATGGTCTTCTTTGACAGTGACTATATCAAGCAAACCAAACACCAAAATACTGTTCAGTCTGAAAGAAAACCATATTTCCTGCTGCAGTTACGAAATATATGTTAAGGTTGTGTTATTTTAAATGGGATAAAAGAGTTTCAATGAGGAAGACATTCCTTCCTCTTTTCTGTCAGTTTAAGTCTTGAATGATTCCAGTGAAGTGACTGAGGTTACTTAAACTATATCTCTGTAACTGAAGGTCGCTTACCAATACATCTCCCGGGTAGTTTAATTGACAGACACGTCTCCTACTATTTGGTTCAAAGTTTCTCTACCTTTGCTGTAGCCAAAAATATATTAATTGTGAACACCTCCAAATTGTTCAAAGTCCTTCTGTCCCAGGAAGCAATGAATAGCTATATCAATGATTCACTGTGTCCTTCCACCGTGTATTGATAATTATCTCCTTTGCAGTTCCCCAGATAGATACAGTGAAACTTACAACGGATGGGATCTCCTATGTTGATGAGTAAAGCCTTCCTATTTTGGACAACCTTGCTATATATTCCATTTCATTAATTAATCAAAATCCATAGTTAATTTGCTTGCCTGCTTCCACTGCTCCTGTAAGAAAACTTTTCCAGAAATCTACACCTGTCTTGGCTAAAGCCATTCCCTAATTTTGAGCTTATATATTAGGGTCACAAATTGGAAGTACAAATTAGGACAAGTCAATAAGATCTCCAAAACAAAGCTGTGCCCATCTGTCTCGGGACATTATTAATAGGCGACTAAGTAAAATTATGTCGTGAGGAATGACTGCAGAAATGCCCCTTGCTCCAGCATATATTTCCTACTTTGATGTTTTCCAAGCCACACTGATGTCATCTACCTGGAGTCCTGCCTAGACTGACGCATGCAGTTTCTGCTGTCGTCAGTGAGAATTCCCATCCTGTACCAGGGCCTCTATACAGTCCTGTAGTTGTAATACTGCTGGTACGGCGCAGTCAGTGTACCACTGGAAGAGTGAATTCACTTCTCATTGCCTGGGATGTGTTGTAACTCTCTTCTTAGTCTAAAGCTGTGATGTTCTGGGATGGGATTCAAAGACGGGAGAAAACTCCTAACTACATTCTGTACTGTAGATGACATGTTGATACCACTGCAGAGCAGGAGGAAATCTGGTATCGAACAAACTGAACAAATGTATTGGGGTGTTCCAAAATGATGGGTGAAATGAGAATTTTCTCCAAGTAATAGGTATCTATCACATAGCCAGTTCTCATAAAATTCCTTAGATGTATCCAGTTCTCACTGTGAAAATTCAAAGGTATTGGTATGAACACCAGGATAAAAAATGGGAAGAAAAAAGTCCTGGTGTGGCCTTGCACTGTATTGTTTTCTGCACACAGAAAAGTAGTATGGCTCCTCGAAGTACTGGTAGGAAATGTATAAGCCTTGATGCACTTCAATCAGTTAGATAAATTTATCTATCTCTTGCTATACCCACCACAATATATAAATCTTTCTGACATACATCAGTGACATCGGTGACTAGGAACAAGTCATACCATTCAGAAATAAGATATTTAATGGCCACTAATCCTATCATAATAATTACAAAATAATGTAATGATGAGCCATAGTAAACAAAATATATGAACAAAAATGGCAAGGAAAAATGCAATTAGAGTCTTGGGCTTGATCCAACTCCCTTTTGCTTCAGTGGGAGTTCTGATAGACTATTACCCCTATGTAATTAGAGATTTAGGCTTAATTCAGTTCCCATTTCCTTCAGGGGAATTGGGATAGGCCCCTATGCCCTAATTTTCTGCTGCCTTGCCCCTTGTATACTTAGCTCTGTAAAAGCAAAGTGGACCTGTTTCACTGTGCTGGTACACTGTATCATATTAGGGAATCATGTTTCAAGACTCAGATAAGAAAAGTAAGTGCAAAACAGAGCATCAGCACCTGTTTTGCACTCACTTTGCACAGCCCTAAATTATTAAATGAAGCAATGAACAATAAAGTCTTTATTTTTATCCAAGGTTTTCAAAATTCCTAGTTGTTTAGCAAACTATATGAAATGCTCTCACTTCAGGAAGATTACTTCACTTAACAAATTAAGTAGACAGAAAAAACTGATGGATATAGCCTCTTGTTTTGGCTCACAAGACAGCTCAAAAAGCCTGTAAAACACTTACTAGGGGTGCATATTCCAAACTTGGCATCAGAAATCTTAAGATTTGTATTTCTAAGCATGAGGCAAAATCAAGCAAAAAACCCTATCAAAACTAGTCTTGGACATATTCTGCATTCCTCTAAAAAACAAAGGCTAGCTCTTTCATTTTGTGCAAGAATATAGACATTATTAACTTGATAAATTAAAATACCTTTAATGTTAGCCATCATTACTGACCCTGATGTTGTCATAAGCACTCAGTGGTCAGCATTCTGTACGCTGAGAACATGGTAAATGTCTGCAAACTAGTAAAAGCAAACTTCCCTTGTACACAGCCTTCTGCACAGAGATATTCTGACTCTCCAGACCAGGTCAAAACAGGTTAACCAGGTTTTCATGAATGCATAGATACATATGTCATGGGCAAGCACAGGTCCTAACTAGTATAGCCAGAACGAGCTCAAGTATAAACATCCTCTCATTCAGCATTGACAGACACAGCTAAACGGGTATATTTATGCCTTATACTGACTTGAAACAACTAAAATGGATCATATGTGTGTCCAGATGGACACACAGAAAAATAAATACAAAACAAGCAACTATGTGAAATAAACACATACAAATATTAAAAAAGCTAGGGGCACATGTGCAGACACACACACAGATAACACGTGCACAGTTACACTCAAACAGCATACATGGTATGTAGGCATTTGCATACTATGTACACATCCCCATACTCCTGTCTGTCTGCCCAAATCAGCAAAAATAACGAATCCCTTGGTTAGAACACATAAATTTGAGCTAAAAGAACTGTGCCAATGCCTTTCCTGCTGTTACTGATATAGTGCCATACATGCATATATCTCAATACAGGTAAAACCACACAAAAAACCCAGTTCCTGATATTCTAAATTAGACTAATCCAAAACATACCTTAGGGGCATAAGGAAAAGGGAGAAATAGAGTGGGGATGCTTGAGCAGTGCAGGGGTTTTCTGCAGAAGGCAGCCAGTTGTTGCTGTTTGGTTCCACATAGTCCTTGCCATTTTATGTTATCATCCTTTTCAACCTGTTATCATGGACATTTCACTAGTAGATCTCCTCTGAAAGGACTTGCAGAAGAAACCTGTCCTGAGGAATCTGCAGAAAAAATGGTACCTGAACAGCAACATTAACTGAGAGTTGGTGTAATAATTTTGAGAATAGAGGCATTCTGGGAGTCAGAGCAGAGATGAGAATGAAAGGACAGGAGAAAGCAAGGGAAACACCTAGGAGGAGCTAAGTTAAATTCTTTAGAAAGCAAGAATTATGGAGAAGATTGAGGTTAATGATGCCACTTCTCTTCATGCTGGTACAGAGGTCAGGGCAGCAGTCAACATGTTGTTCTCCTCAAGACACTGGAGCATTTACTGAAGGTCTCCTGTGAAAGGACTTTGTAATAGGAGACTCTGGCACCACTGGAGAGGTTATGAGCATTGCTGTCCTTTTTATAATTACTAGCCAACACTGAAACTGTCATGGATGCTATGGGACAATCACACTTAGTCTCACTGTGGTAGGATTGTACAGTCCCACAACAACTAGGTGCCTCTACCCCAAAGGCAAATTGAAGGATAAGCTCATTCAGACAAAGAGCTAGACAGGTGTAGTTATGGCACTGTATTTTGACAGTAAGTATTAACTCATGGCTCACCATGCATTATTGGCAAAGTCATATCATATAACTCTTCGATGGTTTGTCATTTATTAAATGAGGAAAAAAGTTTAAGGTTTTTATTGGAGTTTTTTGTTGTTTTGTTTGGTTTTGTTAACATTTTTTTATTATTATTATTTAAATGGGATTATTCCCCAATTAATCTTGGTGAAATGTTTGGGGAATTCCAAGCTGGCAGCACTATATAAGTAACAAGAACTAGGTAGCAGGTGTTGCAGTATTTAAAAAGGTAATGCACGCACACTTTCCACTGTCTAGTTCACAGTTTATACTAGTAAGTCTGTGCATGGGCTGGTCCTCTGAGCTGTAAGTACCATTAGTCAATATAGATGTATATTGTCCTCTCAGATGTATAAGTCAAGATTCTTCTAATTCCCTTTATCATCAGTTACTAAAACCTGGAGCTTAAAGGAAATTACTTGTGAAAACAGAAAAGGTTTAGGGATGCCAATGACAAATCAACATTTTAATTATATGTATGTATAGTCAAAATGCATACATGTATAAAGAAAAACTTAATGGACCATATTGACCATCCATGAAGAATGTTGATGGTGGTTTTTTTTTTAATATATCTTTTAAATATTAGCCTTTTCCAGCAGCATGCACTGGTGAGATGCACTGTCTGATATGCCCTTGGCCAGAATCATCCTTACACACATTGTGCAGTTCCCACACATTATGCAGTGTGCTGTAAGCTGATTATTTTCTTGGCTGCAGCCCACCCTCTAAGTCTGGGCATTTCAGTGTGGAAGGAATTCCTGTACATATGTCATTTGTAAAGCACTGCAAGATACTTTGAAATGAATACACACTGATAGCTATACACAAAAGGAGACATAAATAAAAGGAGTGTTATATTTTTGTAGCATTTGATTGCCTAAAAAGTGCTAGTCTTGGAGGTGGACTTCAGGCTTCTTGAGCTGTAAAACAATTACATGCACCTATGTGTGGTAGCACATGTTACAATTCTTCCATAGCATAAGTTTTGCTGTTTGAACTCCCTCACAAAATTTCCAGGTAAAATTATAAAGAAGATACATGGTGGAATGGACTGAAGGGTAATTCTCAGCATGCTTGGTTTGGGAAGTCTTTGAGATCATCTGGAGAAAACGGGGAGACATCTGTGCAGGATGTTGTTCTCAGGAAGGGTTCAACACAATCCTGCAGAGTCACTGAAGAAGCAAAGAGGTTTTCAGTCTTAGTCATGGCATTTAAAAATATAGACTTGAGCTAAGTAAGTCAAGGAATCACATTTCTGTTAAAACCAAAATATTTCCTTAAATTGTAGTTACGTATTTTTGATGCTTCTTGAAGATATATACATGCTCCTAATTTCAATCCTATTAACTTAGCAGTTAGGAAATTTGCATCAATATCTTCCTGCCTGCGTAATTAAATTCCCCTTTTAAAAAAAAATTCAAATTAGCAACAATAAAAGAAACTACGAAAACTCTGTTGAACTCAAGCAGTTACCATAAACAACTCCCCCAAACAATCAGGCATTATGCAAAGTTATTGCTGCTTAAGGAAAGAAATCCTGAGAGAGGGGGTCAGCCCCTGTTCTCGCGAAAACCTAAACTGTAACTCCCATTGACTGAAAGGAGAGCAGAACCAGAACAAGAGGGACACCTGATAACAGGGCAAGGTGTACTAATGCACTGCTATGTGGGGAGAAGGGCCATGACAAAAGGTGGAGTGTTTCAGGCCAGCAGAATACACGTTACCAGAGTTGCTGGGAATGTTTAATTCAGTCTCTCATCACTGAACATTCAAAAAACCCTGAAGCTGAATTGAATGGTGACAGGCTTAAAGACACATGACTGTCTCAAAACACAGATTCCTTAACAATTTCAGTAATCATTTTGAAATAAGTTTTGTCACACTTTTAAGTCTCTCTGACTTTCAGGTCATCATCTGCATTCTGCATTGCAGTACAGGTCACCAATTTACAACAAACAAGACTCATTTTCTAGTACTTGTTAGTTTTCATTTTTTAATTACTGTGTCATAGAAAAGCTCTGATTTTGTTTTGGATAGCAAATCATTCAGAGGAAAGCTGAAATCCAAAAATATAAACAAAACCTCGTATATTTCAGGAAAATGTTCAATGAGATATCTCAACTTCAGTTGTTTTATTTCTAAACAAAATCTTAAACTAGAAACAATTTCACTCATTTGCCCCTTTAACTATTATTTCCATAGCAAGACAGATGCAACTGAGACAAACAAATTATTTGTGAGGAACGTATTGCAGAATTTTTTTTGGTCATGTTTCCATTTTACTGGTCTTGAATGTGAAGGTTTTCAAAGTTCTTCATACTTTTTAAGTGTATAAAATAGAAAACCAGAATTTACTGCATTACAATTATACATATTGGAATACTTTGATAGATGGGTAGACAACACTAAGTCATTTTAATGCTGATGTACCATCAAATTATAACGCAAGGATACTGGTTTAGCTATGATAGTATAGGCATTGCATACTTGAGGCCCAGAAGAAACTTTAGTAAAGTATTAAACTATTTTAGTAGTATGAGTGCATTAGGAACATAATTTGAACTAGAAAAATGTAAAAAATATACAATTGTGTCAGCAAACTATATATAAAATAACCCCAACAAACAATAAAAACCAGAAAACGAATATATGAAGAGGTTTGTGTCTATACATGATGGAATCTGTTGTCCAGTCACTACTGAAATGAGGTTGAAATGGTACAAATAACCTTGAAAGTAAGACATTGGAAGTAGCTATGCCAGCTAAGCTACCAATCTGAAATCAGTGCATGCACATATGGACCACAAGTTGCGAGCACTATTCATGTATCCTGCATGAAATGAATCTGTCAGTCTCAATTCATGTCCTGTGTCCACATCACAAAAACATTCCCTTAAAAATGACCTCTCTGGTCGGGAATTTCAGCAAAGACGTAAAAGGAAGAAGGAGACACAGAAAATCAACCTCCTTTGAAGCTCTAAAGCAGTTCACAGAGGAGCAGCGTGGGAGAACTTATATTCTGATGGCCAATGAGAAAGAAATGATCCAGGAATGGGCCTTCATAAATCTTACAGCTGCAGCAGATCATAGATCATGAGCTATAAACTGTTCTGGATCTACCTGTGGTCAGCAGAAGAGTTTAAACTAATGACTGCCAAAAACTGCATTTTCAAATGCATACTTGGATCTCTAATGCACATGTATAATAGCCATCAGAAGTGAATTTTTTTTCAAAGTTTGCATTGCAATCTGGTTTTTTAATATATCCAAGCACAAAAAAATTGATATTTTGTTTAAAAAGAACACAACATCCAGCTGCAAATTTCACATTGGGACTGAGCCACTCATATAAATTTGGGGGTTTTTAAAATTGTCTCACAATTCTGGGGTTCCATTTCTGGTGTTCGAGGAACTGATGGGGTCTGTATATCCAGATAGACCTCTTCTGATAAGAAATATCAGAAGTTCAGAAGGTTAAATATTTATAAGTGGAGTCATGTGTTTTGCATTGTCAGCTGGCAAGATATTTCCCACAATGCATTTATGAGATGTAACTTTTTTTTTTCAAAATGTCAATGAGCAGACATATTTTTCACAAATTATTGAATGAGTAATTGCCAATAGATTTCTGCCCCTGACATTGCTCACAAGTTATTCACTAAAACGACTGCTTTGCGTATTTTAGGAATTCACCGTTCATGGATTAGTATTTATAAGGGGCTGCTGGTCACACAAATCACCTGACATTTTTCTTAACCTTAGCTGGTAAACTTGCAACCCATCAAAGGCTTCCCTAAGAGCTGCACGCAGACTACCAGTTCAGGCATTCATATGGATACAGAAATGCATCATTGCATGTGACAGTTTTTCTACAGAATATCACTCTAATGAATGTTTGTGGGAAGTGAAGGAACTGCCTCAATTACCATCAAAACAAATAGTTATATTCAAATAAAAGTTCACATTTTTTTTCAACAGTCATCAGTCTGTATGTACTAACTCCATTGACAGAACACATTTACAGATTTTACAGATGAATAGAACATTAGTTAAAACTACTCTAAAATTCTTAGTTTAGAACACATTCCAGCGCTGTATGTGCATGACTTCTTCTATCCACAGAAACCCCATACATACAAAAAGCATAAGAAATAGCCATGAATATTACTTAATACCATTTGAAGTGCATTGGAATTTTGTTCCATCTGCCCCTTGTATGCTCCCTTCAAGGATTTGTTTGTAAATCCTAAACCAGTGCAAACTCAGTGCCATGCCTTCTGACTTTCCCCCAGGTTTCCCATTATTTTAAGCATATAGTGGCATCCACATTAGTGGACAATCCTTGGTAAAAATATAGCACAACTTTCTGAATAGTTTCCAAACAACAAAATCCAGTTTGCTTTTCTAACTCATTGAAATAAGCAGACCAGCTCCCATGAGT